AAGAGGATCCATGTGTCATCAGGCTCTGGCATGGGGGTGGTAGCGGTTGTCTCCCTTGCCGTGCATTCGGTGACGAAGTAGGCCAAGGTTTGCCCTTTGATAGATGGCCTTGGCTTGAGCTCAATTTAGAATTGGCTGAGGAAAATCGCCCATTTCACCATCCTTGAGGAGCTAGTGGGGCTCCTCATGAGCGCGCCAAGGGGCTGTTGGGTCAGTACGTGGACGGCATGGGCCTGGAAGTAGTGCCCCAGCTTTTCACCGTATGGACGATGGCTAGCACCGTCTTCTCAATGGGGGAGTACCTGAGCTCGGCCTCCCTAAGTGTTTTGCTGGTGTGGAATATGACCTTCTGCACCCCTTCGTCCTCGCGGATGAGCACGGAGCTGATGGCCGACGTGCTCACCCCCAAGTACAAGAAGAGGGTTTCGCCGGCTTTGGGCTTGGAGAGCACTGGTGGGGACGAAAGGTACCTCTTCAGTTCTTCAAATGTTTCATGGCACTCTGTCGTCCACTTGAAGTTGCTTGCTTTGCGCATGATTTGGAAGAAAGGGAGTGATCTCTGAGCTTATCTGGAGAGGAAGCGGCTCAGGGCCGCCAGCCGCCCTGTTAGCTGCTGTACCTCTTTGACGTTGCGGGGTGGCTCCATGTTGATGATAGCCTGTATCTTCTCTGGGTTTATCTCAATGCCTCTCCGACTGACCATGTAGCCGAGGAACTTGCCGCCTTGGACGCCAAAGGCGCACTTCTTGGGGTTGAGGCGGAGTTTGAACTCCTTCATGATTTCAAAAATTTCCCGAAGGTCGTCAGCATGTGTGGTGGCTCGCTTGCTTTTGACAATCATGTCATCGACGTATGCCTCCATCGTCCGGCCGAGGACTGCTCTGAAGATCTTGGCCACCATCCTGGTATAGGTGGCGCCGGAGTTTTTGAGCCCGAAGGCCATGACGAGGTAGCAAAAAATTCCCTCCGGGGTCATGAAGGCCGTCTTCTCAGCGTCATCTTCATGCATGAAAATCTGGTGGTACCCTCTGAAGGCATCAAGGAACGACATCAACTCGCATCCCGCCGTCTCGTCCACCAATTGATCAATGTTGGAGAGAGGGAATGGGTCCATGGGGCACGCCATGTTCAGGTCAGTGTAATCAACACACATTCTGAATGTCGGCGGTTTTTGGGCGAGGACGATGTTGGCTAGCCACGTCGGGTACCTCACCTCCTTGATGTGGTTGATTGAGAGGAGCATGGCGACCTCCCCTTTGACGAAGTCCCGCCTGTCGGCGGATAAGTAGCGCCACTTCTGCTTGACAGGCGCGGAGGCTGGATTGACGGTCAGCCGGTGGGTGATCACCTGCCGACTGATACCTGGCATGTCGTCCGGGCCCCACGCGAAGATGACGGCGTATGACCGTAGGACGAGGAGGATGGTGTCCCGCTGGTCCTGCAGGAGTTGCTTCCCGATTTTGAGGACCCGCTCCGGCCGGGAGGTATCCAGGGGGACCTCCTCGACCTCCTCGGCCGGTTCGGCATGCGGTCTTTCCTCGTCCTTGGCAACGGCTGCCGTAATGGTGTCTATTCTCTGCCCTTCCCTCTCGGCCGGCCTCGTTAGCTTGAGGTAGCATGCTCTGGCTATCCTCTGGTTTCCTCTGACGTAGCCGATGATGCCGTTGGTGGGGAACTTCAGGCACAAGTGTTTCATGGAGATGATGGCCTCCAAGTCCTCCAGTGCTGGCCGCCCCAAGATCAGGTTGTGGGCGCACTGAAGGTTGACCACCATGAACTCCATGTCAATTTTGGCACGGTGGGAGCCGTCGCCGACCTCCACGGGGAGGACTATCGTGCCCTCGGCGTCGATAGAGTTCTCGGTGAAGCCGGACAACGGTGTCTTGATCGGCTTCAGCAGAGCTTTGTCCAGCTTCAGCTGCTTGAAGGTGTCCAGGTACATCACGTTGACGGAGCTCCCCGTATCAATGTAAGTACGGTGGGTGATGGAGTCACCGATCTCACACCGGATGATGAGGGAGTCCCTGTGTGACCCCGTACCCGGATGCAGATCCTTGTCGGTGAAGGTGATCGCCTCCGTTCGCTGCTTCTTCGGCTGGGGGGAACGTGGGACACCTCCCCAATGTAAAGGGATTGGGCCCATTTCTTCCTCTGGGTGATGGAGTCCCCCCAGTATTCCCACCTACGATGAGGTGAATATGGTTCTTCTTTAGCAGAGGCTCTTCAAAATCCTCGTCGTCGCTGAGCCTACCGATCTCCCGCTTCTTCGTAGAGGGCTCGCTCCCAGGTTTGCCGGTGTTTACCCACGTATTTTTGCGCGGGCCACCTTTAACAAATTGGGGGAGTTCCCCCTGGCGAATAAGGCGCTCGATGGCTTTCTTCAGTGTGATGCAGTCGTCGGTGTTGTGTGAGGAGTTCTTGTGAAATCGGCAGTATGTGCCGCCTTGCTGGATGGCAAGGACCTCCTCGGCCGGCCGAGGAGCTTGTTCAATGAGGCCATGCTTCTCGGCATAGTCGAGGATGGTGCTGACTGGGTGGGTGAGGGGGACCCCCGGCCTTTCCAACCTCGGCCTCCAGTGGCGGTCTTTCTTGCTTTGTCCACCAGAGCCGTGACGACCCTGGGCACCCTGGCCGGCCGGGGATGCTCCCGGGGCCGGCGAAGGATTTGTCTTCTTGGAGGGATGGCCTCCGTCTTTTTTGTGGTTGTGGAGCTCGTCGGCGTCAGCGTACAAGCTCCCGCGCTGAAGCGCCTTTGCATATGACCTCGGTGGGTCGATGATGAGGCTCCTGGCATACGGGGAGCTGCGAAGGGCTCCCTGGTATAGGACGAGGAGGGTGCGCTCATCAGCCCCCTCGACCTCTTCGGTCTCCCTCGTCCACCGATCGATAAATGACCGGAGGGGTTCATCATGTTGCTGCTTGATGGAGAGGAGATGGGTGAAATACTTCTTCGCACGCTTCCTCCCGGCAAAGTGGGTGAGGAAGCGCTGGGCAAGGTCCTGCCATGAGTCTATACTTCCTTCGGGAAGCGCGTTGAACCACTCGTACGCCGGCCCCTCAAGAGTGGAGAGGAACCAACGGCAGAGGTATCCATCCGACGCATTCACCATCAGCATGTTGTTCTGATAGCGGCTGAAGTGCTCTTGGGGGTCTGATCGGCCGTCGTAAGACTTGATGGCGTTTCCCCTGTATTTCTCCGGGATGGGGGCCGAGAGAACACTGTTAGTGAAAGGGGTCCTGGTCCTGACCTGGATGACGGGGTCAACTCACCCTTCGGCCAACTCCCTTTCAAGGGCGCTGACCTTGTTCATGAGAGCGTTGAGGCCAGGATCGTTGGAGGCGCCGGCCGTGGGGATGTTTGTCGATTGCCTGGCCTCCATCTGGGCCAGCCTCCTTTCCAGCTGGGCGATGACCTCATCTCGGGGATCCCCGGCGGCTGCAGCGGCGCCCTGCTGGTTCTTCATGCGCTCGTCGTGGGCCGAATTGATCTGGTGGCGCACGTCGTACTCGTGCAACTTTCCCTTGCCCTTGTCCAGGCGGGGCTGGTCCGCTGTCCGGGACACAGACCCCAAGCTTTCTCTTGGCGAGCCAGGCCGACGCTCACCAATCCGCCCTGCCATCCTCTCCGAAACCGGACGACGGCGCGTGTCACCTAGCCTATTGAAGGCGGAGGCTTTTCCACGCGCTGGGGTCTGCCCAGGCCGAAGAGGGGAAGCGGGGTGGGAGTGGGACGACGCCGTGTCCTGGGCTAACCCCCTCATCGTTGCCTAACCTGATGGCTAACGGTTGGGGCTGAGGAGGTGGAGTGACGTTCCCCCCAGTCCTTGGCAAGAGTGCGCTGAGGACGGTGGGGTTCTGAGCCAAGCTGGTGATGATGACCGACAACGCGACCTGGACCTGTGGATCCACTGACGGAGAAGCCGTGACCATAGGCTGGGCCGGGGCGTGGTCTGTCTTCTCCACGCGCTTCTTGTCCAGGCCGATGCGGGCATTAGGGGCACCGCCGTTGAGCTGGTTGCGTAGGTCCGTCGTGAGGTTGATGGCCTCCTGGAAGACGTCCCCACCGCCGACCTGGTCGGCCGTGGCGTCCTCCTCATGCTCCGGTTGAACCGGTTGGTTGGCCGATTCAGGCCACCCGGCCCGGTGGGATCTCGATTCGAGCTCGGGCCCTTCAAAAGGTGAACCGGCCCGGCAGGTTCGGGCCCGGGCCGGGCCATTTTATTTTAATTTTTTTTAAGTTTTTGGGTTGGGCTGGGTATTTTGGGCCATTTGAGGTGGTTAGGGTTGGTTTGGGAGTGAGGGGGAGGGTTGGGGTTAACTAGGAAAAGCCAAAAAAAAAATATAACCGAGGCCCGGCCCGGACCCGGGGGTTACCCGGGCCTCCCATACCTTGAACCGAGGCCCGGCCGGTTCAAGGCCCGAACCGGGCCCGAACCAAGTCCATCCCTACGTGCGGGTATCCCCATGGTTTTATGACTTTATATGTGTTGTCAATTATCAATCAATATATCAGATAACGGAAGACTAATTTTTGAAAAAAACAATATTGATGAAAAATGTTATCATATCTTCGGCATTAACGAAACTCTTATCGTACTCGAATTTCAATACACCAAAATTCCTACACACTAAATGAAACATATAAAATCGAAATTATAAGTGATGCACTAAAATCATTGATAGAAACATGTACGAAAAACTAATAATAGTCCATTCATAACCGAGTATTCAATTTCAAAAAAAAATGACAATAATTCAAACAACATATACTTCGTATACACAAAACAATACTAATCTCTGACAAAAAAGGTAAAAATAACTCAAACAAGAGAATATAAAGAACTTAATTATCCTCCTGAACGATTTTAGTATTTTTAGTGGTTGGACTTTAGATATAACTGTATATCATTGGTACCATACTAAAATAATTTGGCACGGAATCATACCGAGTATATCAAAATTTTGACAATTTCAGTTTTTTGTTATGGCAAGGGAGTATACTGAAGCTCAAGTATTTTTCCCTATAAAGCGTCCAGCACTTACTTTCACATTAGAAACAAGCTTGAATGCAACAAAACATAATGGTAAAGAATTGAAGACTATCCTGAGGCCAAAACGTTTTCTTTACAAGGTGATAAGTCGAGTACAACGAAAGAACTAAAACAAGCACAAACCGGGGAGTAATTACATAGGCTTCTTGGAAAATTGGTATGCAAATAAAAGCATGGCAGATGACGATAGTTAAGAACCTTACTATATAATTTACAGGGCTTGGGGCACTATTCTACAGATCCCTTCTGCATAATGGACAGGAGCCATGCCTCAACAGCCATGTATCAATGCACGGTAGGTGAAACATGTGATGGCACTGCGGCAAACTTCTGATCGTCTCACCGAGCTGAAAGTCCTATAATCACATGAGAGAATAGAAACTCTTTAAACAAGACTGGTCGGGTCTTACTGTTCAACACAGAGATGTAAGGGGATTAGTATTATGTGAGCAGCAAAACAAAACAGATGCCGGGGGTACCTGTAGGCACACTGAACACGAGACTCTCTCCCCAGAAGCATCAATGTTGTTATCACTAGTTATTACTATTTTGGGAATCCTTTCGACCGAATCTCCTGGTAAACCCTTCGAACCGCCTAGGTCAAAAATGTTAGATGCCTCGTCATATGCAGTTTCAATGGCTCCCATCTGGTAGATAATTTGAAACTGTTAGCTTTGATGCACAGTTAAAAATCCTACCCACTTCCATTGTAATAAAAATCTCTCCTTGACACGAATCACAACCTATGGCCTCTGTGCATCTATACCCGGATACATAGCTCAATGTCTTACATGTAAGTTTATTTTTTACTATTTTACAAATGTTACATGACTTAACAGGTCCTTACAAAAAAAATGTTAATTGGAGCATTCCACTTTTAAAGTTCGTGTTGAAGCTTACCACATCAAATTCTTAGTTAGAGTTTGACAAACACTCATAGCATATTATGACTTGGGATTTCAACTTAAAAGTAAAAACCTTATTGGAGAAAAAACTCAAAGCCTTATATACTTAGATTTCTAGTCTTTTTTCTGCATAGATCCTGCCTAATTCCACTTAGATCTTGCCAAACCCTGATAAGTCCTTACATAGGCGGGGGAGGGGGGCTCTATCACCTAACATGCGTGTAACACTTCGGACAACACTTCGCAAATCTCTTGGCACTTGGAGAAGTAATGGGGTACCTGACTTTGCACCGCACTTAGCATTGCCGGACCAATACGCTCACGAACAAGTCTACCACTCAAAAGGCTTGCAATCACATCAATCTATAAAATTTACCAATTGCTCAACAATTAACCATATAATCAACATATTACAAAACAAAACTGGATTAATGAATAGTAAAGTAGCGAAATTGGTCGGAATATGGTTATGCTGCTAAGGCGCTAAGCTATCCTACCCATGCCCACTGAACCAAATGGGCAAGCCATTATAGTCCCTTCAAACTAAATGTATTTCAACATCTTTATGTTCAAGAGTTGAATGATGCAATCAAGTTGCAATCAGGAGTAAGCATAGAACATTTCTACAAAGTACAAGTTGAACAATCATTTTCTTTTGCTAAAATTGGGACTCGCTACGAAAGAGAAAAAATACATATTCTCTTCATCAACTACCTTGGTTGCTTTTTAGGCCCGTATGAATCGTATTTTTACTTTAAAATGATGGTCCTATTAGAGAACATAGGATGGTTTTCTCCAGTTTGCAGTAACCTCAAAAGGGAAAATAATCAAAATACAATTCCCCAAACGCACATTAGCCACTTATCAAGCCACCCGTCAGTGAGAGCTCAGGGGTCATGTTTGCTTACCAAGTAAAGGAGACACCCAATTCCAGATTCATCTGACTGCCACAACAGCAGAGATGACTCAAAGACCTCTAGAGAGAAAACAGCCCCGGAGATAGCACCTACTGCAGCCCCTCTTATGAACCCACTCTCGGTCTCTTGGCCAATCAAAGCTCCAGTCATTGCTCCTAATAAGGTACCCACTGCAAGAACAAAGTCAAAAAATGCTTTATTACTTCCATCTACTACTCCCTCCCATCTATTACTCCCTCCCACAAAGTCAAAAAATGCTTTATTGCAAGAACCACACCAACTTTGCCAAATTTGGTATGGGTCAATCTTAGTGGGAGGGAGGTAGTAGTATCTAATGACTGGAAACCTTCATTTCCAGCCCCTATCCATACACTTAGACTGGACTAGGAATAACCATTATTATGTTATACTTCCTATCATTTATTTTTATATGGTTTTGTCTTATCTTCACTAAATCTCGAACCTCTAAGTATAGAAACAATTAACAATCCCATGCCCTTCCCTCAACCCTTCCATCCGAAATCCCATAACCAAACAAGCCCTAGAAGAATAGGTTATCCTACAATAAAACTCCTCGATGAACAACAATCACAGAAAAAACACCACATCAAATGTATGCTGCCCGGAGGATAATTATGCATATAGATCAAGAAATTCAAGCTACTAAAACCAGAAAAATAAGATATTTGAGAAAGAAAAGTAAAAGAAATGCATACCTAAGGCGAAGAAGAAGGTAAAGATGGCAGAAAAGACATTGCCAATGAAAGAAGAGATAGCAAAGGTGAAGAATTCTTTGGCCTTGTCAACCAGGTTCTCAAATGAAAACGAAGAAAAAGTTGAAGATGAAGGCCGAGGATGAGATGGGTATGTGTAAAACTCCATTGATTCCCTCCCTCTCTCTCTTTCCCTCCAGTTCAAGAATTGCCCTCTAGATATTACCACCAGCAGATTCAAGGCTCCAACGAAACAGCTTTGGACACACATCCTAAATATTTTGATCCGATTCTGTGTATAATAATAACCAGATATTTGTGTCTGCAGATGTATATATATACACTCATATTATAATGGGCAGAAGAGTCAAGAGGGATGCGTGTTAAGTGAGCGGTAAAAAGACGCCACATCCAACTCGCATTTACAGCTTTCTTTTTTCCAGAATTACTTTTTTTTTTCGGGAAAGACAATTCCATCTCATATTAGATATCCTATTTAATTTAGCACACTTATATCCTATTTTAGTTTAGCACACTTATATCCTATTTTAATTTAGCACACTAATTAGTAAAGTACTACGTAACATACATTTCCGATTCACTTGGTCAACATAAATCACTCTTAATCTGTTAGTTTCTATATTAAAATTTAATGAAATTTGAATTACTTTTCGTAAGCTTTGTAGTGGTTTTAATCTAGTTTCTGAATATATAAATTTTATTTTATAAAACTAATTTGAGTGTTGACAGGGATCAATTTGTTTTATCATCGATCAAAAATCGTAAACCGTAAAGTATCTTACAAATTGGGACGAAGGGGGTACTTCTTACCAAAAAAGAAACATGACATTCATTCTAGAACAATCTAAAAAAGAAAGTAAGACAATCAAAATATGATTGAGGGGGTATTAAACAATAATTATCACTTTTATTCTTTTTATCATTACTTGATAAGAGTCCTTGTATGAAGTTTCATTCTCTTTCCATTAGTGTGAGGTCAAAGCTCAATTTATATCCTTCCAGATAATTGTGGGGTCGATTCTTAGGAGACTCATGGATGGAGTGTTATTCTTTCTTTAATAAGAGCCCTTCTACAATTAAACTTTGTAGCTTTAAATGTACCTATACATTTATAATCAACTATAGAAAATATTTCCACCATTTCACATCCTTTCATGGTATCATGAGCATTCATCCATTAATCAATGTTTTCCCCAAGCGGCCCGAGCCTGAAGAGCGTGAAGGCCAACCTATCAAGCATGGAAATGGCGGATAAGTTGGACACCCAGAACAGATAACAAAACAAGAACGAATGGGAGAATGATTACCAAGAAGCGGGCGAGGAACATTCCTTTCTCGGCAGTACCTATCTTGGCCCTGGCAAGATGCTCAACATTAACATATTCCAAGATGTGGAATAGGCCCGACAAGCTCCACAACAGTGATATGATCCCTAGGGCATCCGAGACGTGAGGGTCCTTGTCACGCCCCGAACCGCATTCATGCCATGTGGACAACGGCCGTACAACTCAATAAAAATAACTATAGTTCATTCCCATTAAATTACACAAAATGTCTCATAGATTCATGTGTCAAACCAGTTAGTAAACACATACAATCAATGAGCCACTAGTGGCAAGCATGAGCACGCAGATCCCCAAATGTTTCTATCTTTAGCCACAAGTGGCAAACATGAGCACGCAGACCCGCAAATGTTTTATAGAAAACAATGTTAAAATGTCCATGAGCAACATCAAGATTTCAAATAAGAATGGGAAGTGACAGGTAGTATATCCGGGGGATACCACTGAAGGGTATCTAGAGAGAAGTCAGAACAAGTAAGAGAGAGAATGGTGTGTATTAAATGAACTACTCAAAAGTGTTTGATCTTTTACAATGAAGAATTGGTTGTTATTTATAGCAGCCATAAATGCTAGACACATTTAATGCGGGTACACGTGTCGAGTAACCAACGGTGGAGGGTCAACTCAACCAGGGCGGCGTGGCATATCATGTGGCACCGCATTCAATGCGGTGGTTTGGATGTGACATCGCATTTAATGCGGCGACTCAGAGCATGCAGATAGGAGATCTTGTCGGGGTGATGCCTTCGACTGCAAGTACCCGGGGGGCCCTCATGCGCCAAAGGCTGCAAATACCAAAGGCTCGCAATTTTAGCCTCGATTCCCAGCTATGTTTCTGGACCAAGTACAATCGATTTCCTGAATATGGAGCCTTCGGGCATAGGGCTGAAGGCTATACTCTGTATAGTATGGGCTGCCTGGAGTCTTGTTTGTTGTGTTTGGGCCACTTGGGCCTGTTGGGCCTGTTTGTAGTAGTGGGAGTATGTGGGCCGGGGGTTCCTGGGCTATATACTCCATCAGGAGTCCCCCACTCCTTTTGCCGAGAGCTTCTCGAGGAAAATAGGAGCAAGTGTCATGATCTCGTCGGTGGCTCCATCACTGTAGCTTGAGAAGTAGCGAAATTTTGCGTTATCGTGTTTTGCAAAAGGGAGTCCATCTGTCCCCCACATTTTTGAGATCGAGGGCCTTTGATGGGAGTCTTGAATGTTTCTCCGGTTAGTGAAGGTTGTCATGCTTTTGTGAAAAAACGTCTGATATTTTTTATTTCCCCGAGGGGGTTCCCCCCAGTCCCCCATGCCTTTAGGTTGAGGGCATGCTCGGGCTGTAGGGGTTCGATGCAATGTGTTAACCCGAGGGCTTCATAACCTCACAGCCTCACTTGTTCGAGGGGTGGTGGTGGTGGTTGTTCAGTTGCCTAGAGGTAGCCGTTGGAATATGACCGTTGGAGGAGGGGTCCACGTGGCGCGTTTCGGTTGGCTCTCGTTGGGCGGCTGTCATCGGTTGGCTGAGGCGACAGTTCGTAATGATGGGCTTTTAACCGGAGGCCCAGGTTCCGATTCTAACCGTGGTTGGGGAGGCTATAAATACCCCTGGCCTGAGCTCATTTTGCTTTGCGCGCCTTTGTTGTTGAAGCAAAGCTCGCCAAATTTTCTAGAGAGAGAGTTTAGATCGATCAAACCCTTACTTTCGAGGTCACTTCTTCCTCTGTTCTTGCCGTTACTTGCATTTTTTGCTTCGCCTTTCGTAGATCTAGTGTTAGTGGCCTTAGGATTTTTCTTGTCCAAACCTTCCCGATATATTGCCGAAGGATGTCGTCTGCAAGTGACTCCCAAGATATTTCCCAAGAGCCTTCAGTCCAATAAGAGACTTGGTCTAAGGAACGGCCGCCGAGTGCCCAGGCTTCATCAAACGATGACTCTACCGTGGCAATGGAGGTCGAGAGCAACCTCCGAACTGAGGCCGAAGCCGAGGAGTTTGAGCAGGTGGCCGGGGATGAGGAGCTGCCCCTTGATAGGTTGATAGGTTGGCCTTCACGAGTTCACGCTCTTCAGGCTCAACTTTATATAAGATTACCGGGCCTTCACGCTCTTTAGCCTTCACGCTATTATATTTGCCGAAATTTTGGCCGGAAGGACAAGGGGTGGTGAAGAGATAATGGTCACGACTCATGAACTAAATGTGGACAATCTGAAAGTAAGGGACTAAATGTGGAAGTGGTATAATAGTCATGGGACCAAAAGTGGAATTTTTTCAATTAAAAAATCCCAAGAGCTCGGGAGCCTTAATACCCTGTTCAAGCCCGGTTTCTATATAAAGGGTCAAACATCAAGCAGTTTCAGCCCGGGACTGGACCAACCTAAGTCTATGCCTAGTACTACATGAACTCGAGGAACTAAAAGCCAAACTTCACAATTCACTAATTTAGTAGTTGCTACATCATCAAAATTACATCCTCTTATTTCTGATTTTCTGTAATTCTCTGTAAAAACGAAGAGAAGTAAGCCGCAATACAAATACAGAACATAATAGTAACTAAGCAAGGACAACAATATACACAGGCTCCATGAGTCCAAGTTAACATAAAACATTTATTACTTGGTTTCTTGCTATGTTTAAAAACAATGATAATAATAATAATCATAATAACACGTTATGTATGATGAACTCAGGTGTGGCGTCATTGAGCAATATCAGGGCCTTGCTGCTATGGCACTGGTGTTGAAAGATTCTTTCATTTCATACAAAACCTTACTGCAGTAAGTGCATCCAAATTCACATCTCAACTCTGCGCCTATGAAAACAACCAAGTTAACATGTGGGAGTAGATGCTTAACAATTTTGAATAGTGTCTAAATAAAATAGCAAAAACTTATTGATTGGGCTGATAAGCCAAATAATATGGCTCACTAATGGACACCAAAGAAGAAAACTCACAGCAGAACAGAGAATTTGCATTAAATTGTCATCAAGATTAAATGTACCATATTTGGTAGATTAAGCCTTGTACTCATGAACACGCATCCATTTTGTAGATGACCACTTGTTCCCTTTAATTACAGGGCAACCACCTACAAGAAAAACCAAACAATTAGAGCATGTTTCCACATTCCATGCCTCTGAGCACAGTATATTTCATCCAGAATTCCAGATATAGAAGTAATAGAACTCAGAGGTGTAGCCAGGATCGAAGGTTGGGGTGGGCCGCTACAAAGATTTTTTCAGATAAATTTTTACACATAAATTTACACTAAAAATACAAAGAATTTTCAAATTTGGGGTCCCCCCCCCCACCCCCACCTCCACCCCCGATAGAACCAGTGACTGTAGAACACAAGGAGATATACAATACTCCAGTCGTATCAAATCCGTTAAAGTTAAAGCATGTGTTTTGAATGTTTGTCTCTTTATATTACCTATATCACTAGGTATGAGTTTCCTAGACTATCTTATGTGCTCTAGGTGTACCTCTTGGTATATACATCTGGTGTCAGTTGAATTGTTCATTATCAGATAATTAATCATGCTCTACTTCTTCAAGAGCAATACTAGGGTGGAAATATCTTTATTGAACAAAACAGTTGTGCAATTGTACTTATTTCTTTTTCTGTCTCTTCAGTGCCTTGCTTTTGCTATTTTGATGTGCCCATTCTCCTCGAATTGCTCAACAGCTCTCTCTGCTAGTCTTTTTTATCAAGAGGTAGCCTAACTCCCTCTCTATTTTCTTGTCTGCTAATGAAACCATTTTCAAATCTTCCTGTTCAGATATCTCCTGAAAAAATGGAGCTGCAGATCAGAAGAATTGAGACCCTGTTGAAACAGCTCATGCCATGCTTATTCATCATACTGTTCCTAAATAACTTGAGGGGAAGCTACTGTGCATTCTTGTTGCATAAATCGCAAACATTTAACTCTATTGCGAGGGAAAACTCCTAGAAATGCTTTGCTCCGTCATGAACCTTGCACAAACTACCTACAAGGTGTTTGAGCGCAC